TATTAGATTCTTCGGTTATGCTACGCTACAGTTTGTATCTAAACTAGTTTGTACACTACAAGTAAATCTGACCAGCTGGAAAAGAAACCGCTAATTAGCAATGACAAGTAAGCGCATTTGCAACTGGTATTTACCTTAATCAACTATGACTGATTCACTGGTCACAAGATATACAAAAACGAAGTTCTAGCAGTGCGGTCATTAGAAGTACATGTGCACATGCTTATGATTCTCGCTTACTCATAGTTAATCGAGGTCTAATTTTGTTCGCTGTGATCTCCTTTTTCTATCGGAAAAAGCACCTTATCAATAAAATAAGCAGTGGACTTTTCTTACACTATGAATAATCTAGAGCTGACTTAAAAGCTGTCGCATGACCATGAATGTCCTTTGCCTTCAGTACGTTTTAGAAACAGCGAAGATTCGTAAAACTCACAATACAGCTTCGGGGAACCAGCGTTTTTGGTCTTTTTTCATGGCTTCGATCCCGCTATTTTGCACAACAGTTTCCAGGCGTACTGGGTCCTGCACGAGCTTTTCTGCGTCGCCACCGAGGAACATTCCGATCTGGAAACAAACTATTATTCGCTCTACTTTGCAAAATCGGATAGCTTTTGGTAACGTTGAAAGTGCTGATATTCTCTAGATTTGTAATGGTGTGATACCGGAGCATGAAATCACCTTGTAAATGCATCCCTCGAGATCCTTTACCATATCTTCGTACATCAAAAAAAGCACATTAGGTTGCTCAAGCAGGGGCAACCACCCAAGAAGGTGATCGAAGTAATCGCCGAATGCGAGCTGACCCGATATGAACAGATCCACAAACGTTTCCCATTCGCCATCAGCAAAATTGTAGATTTTGAAATTGCGATTGTGATGGAAATAGCTGAAAGAATATGATAATTTTGACTTCTGAGGCATAAAAAATTTGAAACCAAACCTTGTGCAGCAGTCCTTCGGGTTTCTAACACAAAAGATGTATTTTGCGTTGTTGTTCTTGGGAACATTTAGGGCCGAGAAGTGCGTTTTGAGAATGCGTGGGCGTTCAACGTTCGAAAGGAACTTCGCACCCATACGTTCTATCATAGGGCTTTGTACACACATCTCTGAAACTGTAGCAT